TTTTATGTGCTATCTGGTTCTGTGTGTTTGCTTAGTTAAACTGAATTTCTGATGAAACAAAACCCTTATTTTGCTCTAGCACAAAACATAGCACTGGTTCAGGCTGTTTACCTGACTATACCTTTTCATAACTTAGTTTTAATGTAGTGTAAGTTGATGTCAGCACCTTTATGTTGTGTAATCTACAAGAACAGCTTGGGTAGCTGATGTTCTTCAGTACTTGCTAGCCTTCTCAGTGCAGGGGCAGAAGGTGCATTCAACTGTCTTAACATAAACAAGATAGGCCAAGGAGTCAAAAAATAGTAGTCCATGATCTGTCAGGAATTCTTAATCAAACCTTTTGATGACTGCCTCAGAAATAAAATGTCTTTCCTGTTACACATCCAGTGCAGCTTGCTTTATTCATTTTCCTGATTTTCATTTAAAAGAAAATATCCAGAATTTCAATGTGTTAAGAATCAAATCAATTGATGTTTAAGCATGTATTATAATGATTACCTGTTGAAGAAAAGTGCCTAATGGAGTCACTAGGTTCTATTAAAGTATGTAATTAAGGCAATTTTGGGGGGAATATCCTCTCTGGATATTAACTGCACTTAAAGTTACAGAAACATTTATTATTTTGCAATACTCCTTCAGTAGAAATGTCTTTTATTAGTGCTATAAAAAGCTTAGCTTCAATAACCAAAATAGTAGTCTTCATTTCAAGATTCAGGCTACTGCTTTTGAAACTGCTGTTCCTCGTGAAGCTGCTGTTGAGAGCTGCTGAATGCTATGGCTGGATGATGTATCTTGCTGTTAGGCACCAAGTCTGGCCCCATTTAGAGCAGTCTCTGCTCTGCCTCCGATACCAGAGGTGCAGAGCCGGGGGTGCCCTGTGTGTGGGGAATTATTTCCAGTTACTTCTCACCAAGCAAGTGCTGGGAACCAGGGTTGTACAGCTCCACTGCACTGGTCCTCTGTAGACATCCTTAAATCTAATTCATTATCATTTCTATACAGTCAGTAGTTGTCCCTTTTGGGGAGTAAAGCTGCGCTTCTGAAAGCTGACACTGTTTTTCTTTTCTTTCTAGTTATGGACATCAGACAGTGCAGGAGAAGAATGTGATGCTGCAGAAGGTGCAGAAAACTAAACTGCGCGTGGGGCATCATTCTCCCTTTCCTTCTCAAGAAACCTTTTTACACGTCTCCATTCCTTATAGCTCCACTTGGATTTCCTATAGCAAAGAAAACCCATCCATGTGTATGGAAATCAATTTATAGTCTTTTCACACTGCAGCTTTGGGAAAACTCCATTCCTTGATTTGTGTTTGTCCTGGCCTTCCTGGTGTGCGGTTACTGCTGTAGAAAAGTATTAATAGCTTCATTTCATATAAACATAAGTAACTTCCAAACACTTATGTAGCGGACTAAAGTGTACCTGGTATTTAAAAACAAATCTGAACCAGTTCCTGCCAGTTGACTGTGTTTTGTATTACAGTAAGATGAAAATGTAGTTAATTGCAACTAAAGAGTGTTCCACATAGCTTTTTAATTCTCCACATTCCCTTCTTATTCTGCAGGGTTTCCTTTCCATAATTGACTTTCACATGCTACTGTGTGTTCTTTTCAGTAGGAATATGGAAGTATTGGGCCAGATCAGGTTTGAGCATTTCTAGTTGGGAAAATGACAAATTGAATTGCTTCCTGTATCATGTAATACAGAAGCTTGTGCGTTCAAAAACGGGGGCTTCTCTTAATCTTCAGTTGCTGCTGTTTAAGTTGATACCCCCTCCCAATAAAAGTTCACTTACACTCCTGCCTTTGTAGTTCTGGTATTCACTTTACTATGTATTAGAAGCAGCATGTTACTGCCGGGGTACAGGCAGTGCTTTTTGGCAGACTAAAGTGCATGTCCTTTCTTAATACACTGGAATGGGAAAACCAATTGAAGTTCACATGTCCAAGTATAAAATTTAGTACTTTTCCATGCAGGTTTGTGCACATGTGAGAAGGTGTCAAGTTTGTCCAGTGATTGTTATTTAGAGAGTTTGGACCACTATTGTGTGTTGCTAATCATTGATTGTAGTCCCAAAAAAGCCTTGTGAAAATGTTATGCCCTCTGTAACAGCAAAGTAACATTAAATAAAATTACATTTTATAAACCACTTACCGTTGACTTGTAACAATTCCATGTAATCGCTTAAGGGCTAAACTTTAAATGTAAGGATCTTGTGCTAGAAGTGTCTTTCGCAAATCTAGTGCATACTTTTAAAAAGTCTGCTCTTAAATCAACTCATTTCATATTTGAACAATGTGCATTTTATGAAAATATCTGCATAACTTTTCATAACCTGACATGTGGACTTCTTAATAACTAAATCTACTTGAGCTAATGGCTTCACCTTAATAATGACCTAAGAAAAAATAGCCAATTTCTGAATATTCTTCCATGGCTTGCAAATCTTCTCATCTAAATTATACTTTTTTTTTTTGTAATCTCTTGAAATTCTCCAATCTGTTCTCCTGTTGTATTTTTTCTGATGGTCATCATTATTATTACAGTATTCCAGCTACACTTTTAGAAATGCAGAGGAATTTGTCCTGCTCTAGAACATTAGTTTGTGTGCTGCCACATCGTAACCTGCTTTCTGTTGTTCTTAGACTGCTTTTAGTATTACTGTTTCCCCCAGTTTTTTGGAGCCTTTTGTAGTAATACATTGCTTTGCTTTTTCTTTCTCCTTTTTTTTTTTTTTTTTCCCCTCTCTCCTCCCTTTCCCCTTCCCCCTAGATCACTTAAGAGTTTTTTCCTAAGCCTCTACCTCTTAGTTTCCAATGTTGGTGGGTTTTTGAAAATATTTAACTTCTATTAGTGTCCTGGCTAGACAGGATTATGACATTATGAAAAAGGACATATTACTAGTCCTTGCAGGCTTTTGATGGTACATCTTCCACCTTCCATGTTTTTGTTCATTCTTTGGGTGTGCACAACGAATGTTCCTACAATAAAACTGTTCAGATTATGTGCTTCAATTGACATGCATTGCTTTTTTTTAAAAAAAAAAAAATTGTATCAATTCCATTTTCTTCATGCAGTCACTTTGAATTGCTGTCAAAGTATTGTGTGGCAGGATTCTACATAAACTCATATGCTTCTTAATCGGTGTTTTGGTTTCATAATTTCTTCCCCTCCCCCATGCATTTCTTATTGATCTGTTATTTGTTTCATAAAGGTTTTCAACTCCTAAGTGCTGTCATTCTCTAGTGAAGATGTTTGGGTCCTGGTGTGTGAGCAGTCGGCTTTATCTGCTTGTTCAAGGTTGTGCTTTCTCTGCTGTGCTCTGGAGCGCTGTCTCGGCTGGCACTACGCTGTCAGCAAACACTGGTCTCTTATTTCCTTCCTTTTGCAGCTTGTCGAGAGAGTTGTCAGTTTTCCTTACAGGAACAGCATCTGGGCCCTGTAGCTAGATTGTAGCTTAATTTATTAGATGCTTTTTTCTAATGTCTGTCAAAGTGGGGAGGTTCTGGCTGTCTCTTGTTCACTGCATCTACATTTTGTGCAAAAAATGAATCTTGAAACTGCAACATCAGCTCTTGAACTTTAATAGTAATGAGTGCAGTGTTCCCTTTCCTCAGTACTGTTACTTCCAGAATTTGGCCGAAGAGTTGTATTGTTTTGGAGGGGGGAGGGAGTGGAAGGTGCAGGGGAACAGCATGATGGTACAAAAAAAGAATAGACCGTAATTCCCTAAATTATTTTACCTAATGTGTTGTGTCTTTCCTCCTTCCCTCCCCCCAGGTAAATTTCCATTATTAGTACAATACCCAGACTAATTAGGTGTGTTCATGTGGTATTATGGTTTCCAGCTCCAGGAGATAATTTGCACTTACTTGTGTGTTGCCCCACCTCAGGAGGACCTGCCCCACAGCTTAGGAAAAACACTGGACAGACCAACACCTAGCATCCAGGGCAGGCATATCATTGACAACGCAATCCCAGACACCTCAGTAAAACCATAGTGTCTCCTTAGGTTAAGGGTGGGATTTTTGGGTGCTGAATATGGTTGTCTGCAGTAAATCCTGGGGGGCACAGTTACTGTCTTAACCTTTTCAACCAATTCCACAGTAGTGCATTGATTACTCCAACTTCCTCCTTAGTACTTTATTAAGAAAAAAGAGTTCTGAATGTTCTGCCAGATGGGTGATGGTGGTAGAGCTTGTATACTTCAGGATAAGCCTTTTCCTTTTTTTGAGGCATTTGTGTTATAACTCAGTTCAGCAAAACACGGAGTTTTGTACCTCATTTCTCAGAATCTTTGTTGATCTACTGTCAAGAACACGCTGCCACCTTCTCTTCTCAAGTCCAGTTGCAGTGTTCTGGGCGTGAGAGCAGGCAGCTTATAGCAGGAGACAAATTATTTTATGATTCTGTAAAACAAATAGAGCACTTGCTACTTTGCACCTGACTTCCATGCAGTACAAAGCAGTGTAGGGAGATGAGGGTAAGTTTGGGGTCATGGGGATGTTTTAATGTTTTGTTTTGGGGTATTATTTTTTGAAAGCTTTCGAATTAGATACACACACAAAAACAAAACCAAACAAGCAACCAACCAAAAAAAAGCCAATAGAAATGCTGATTTGGGTAACCAGAATTGACATGAGCATGGAAAATATACTGATGGTTTAAATGTTAGTGTGGTTTCCGAAGTAATAGTCACGTCCTAAATATGTCTGAGAAATGGTCTGATGTCACCTAAATTCATCTTCCGTATCAAACCGAGAGGGTAAATTGGGCCAATAAATCATCATATGTAGGAAGAAAGGCAAACTTTGCAATTTGTTCCCAGTGGTTCTGGAAGACTACGCACTTGAGATCCCAGTTCTACAGCTGAAATCCCAGATTTGTCACAAGAACTCACTGCCCTCTCCTGTGCGAGCGTAGCTGGATGACGTGGCTGCCGAAAGCTCTGGCGATTACAGCTTGGCCAGCTTTCAGATGAATAAAATACCAGTGTGGGAAGGGTGAAATGTTAGTACCAGCTTTGGATCCCTGCCATGATATTTTTCCACTACGCTGCGAAGACTCCAGCTTGCCCAAGGAATGCCTTTGCCGTCCTCTGCCAGGGTCCTTACATCGGTATGCAGACGTGAGTACATCTCTGATAACCAAGTGTAGCCTCAAACCATGCAATCGAGTGCTTTAAAACGTAAATTTCTGTATTTTCGAACTTGTTCAAGGGAAGTTTGTAGCGTAGGATCTGTGAGTTGACATCAGGGTAAGAATCCCCGAGCTGAGATTCTGTAAATGCCATTGGAAGCAGCTCATAAGCTTTTTTTATTGCAAATTATATCCTCAGTTGTCCAATCTTTTCGCTTAGTTAAACCCTCATTCCTGCTGCTGTGATCGTTGTAATTGTAAAATCCCTCTACTTCTGGAAACAAAAGGATGGTTTGTAAAAACCTGTGTGGGATTTTTTTAGGCCTTGGCTTCAAATTCCGAATGGCTGCTGATCTTGTTATTGCTCAGCAGACGCCGGGTATTTCAGAATTGCTGTAAAACTGTTAGAAATAATAAAAGGGGCTTGTTACAGCCCTGTAAGAGAGGCAGGAAAAGGAGAGGGAGAGGAGATGTTTGTTTCTGTGCCCTAAGTTACTTAAATTGCACTCTCCAAGGAAAACTGGTGCGTTAGAGCCAAGGAGTGATAACGTTTGGTCTCGGCAGTGACAGCAGGAACGAAGCTGTATGTTACAACACTCTGCACGTAACTCAGTTTCCCAAAAGGTTTTGTGTGTGTGTTAGAGATACAGCAGCCTGGGCAGTACGGGATGCGGGAATCAGCCCAGTTAAATTTAGATTAGGAAATGCTTGAGTTTCTGCTCCGGGAACACGCTCTGCCAACGGGAGCCAGGAGGCAGCAGGAGGCTTTGGGGCTAGTTTATAGAATGGCAGAATCCGGGTTTTGCTGCACCCTCAGCCCTTCTGGAAAATCCAAACTGCCATAAAAAGCTGCTTTGTCTCTGTTAGCGCAATTTCCATTGATTTCGATGTAGAGGTGGTTGGAATTCCATTTATACCGCTAATTTGATGGGAGTAAATGTCTGAACAAGATCCTGCTCGCTCATTTAAAAGGTTTCTGTAGCTGCTGAACTTCATTCATCACTTAATTCACCTACAATGTTAGAATCAATCAATTTAAATACAGTACCTTCAGAATATAACTCAGTTTTTATAGATCAGGTCTTCAGTAGGATTTTATGCAAACAGTATTAGCATTAGTTTTAGAGGGACCCACGCAAGATCTATTTTTATTCTGAGGCTTCAAAGTATATATATTTGTTAATACGTAGCTATGCCAAAATGCATTAATTAAATGCTAGTGCCCAGTAAATGCTGCATCAAGTGGAAACTCTGTTACTCTCATGCCACTTTGTTGCTGTTAAGTTTGTGCTTGAGTTTTGCTGTTTTTATCAGCGGGAGGGACAGGAGGAACTTCTCAAGCGGTACCTGAGCATGGCTAGAGAAGTTTGTGTAGGCTACTCCAGCCACAGGCAGTTTAATTGGCTCCACGGCTCTACTGTTCCATCTTATCCCTTCCCTCAGCTTTCATCCCACCTGTGACAAACTCAGTAATACTCGGTGGGAGACGAAACGATGCCTTTTGCTAGGCCCACTCTTTAACCACTTACCAGCTGAGTTCAGAACTACTCCTCCATAAAATTTCTGGTCCTACAAACGTGTTTCTAATGTTCTGGTCACTCTCCTGCTCTGCTCCGCTCCTGCTGTCCTTGGCCTTGCCCTTCATTGCTACCCCCTCCTTCTAAGGCTCTGGGGCGAGGGCTGGGCAGGCTGTGTGGTTGGCAAAGAGATGTTCTTGAAGGTATGAATGGTTCTGATATCTTGCACCTTGAAAATAGTTATAGGAGGGGATGGTCTCTGCACCCAGATGCGAGGTGTGCAGGGCCCTGGAGGGAGAAGATACAGCTACGTGATGGCACTGTGAGGCAAGAGAATAAAAAAAGGAAGAGAGTCTCTACACTACCTCTAAAGTGAAAAGAACTTAAAATATCTTGTCATTTTAAACACGCAGTGATGCACAGACAAGCAAAGCATGAAGGTCTCCTCTGGTCAAGGCTGAGAAGGTGTTTATTAGCCCCAGGTATGTGGTGCTCCATTCTTCTACAAGCAATGATGCAATACATTTATGTGTTGTTCTGTATCAAGAGTGCAAGGGTCCCTCTCGAGCTGCAGAATGTGGTTCAAAACCAGCAGCTTTGATAACAAAAAATATGAATTTATAGTAATAATAATATAAATGGTTCCTATGGAGAAGAAAGCCATAAGTGTGACAACCTAACCAATTAGAGAATTTTGCTTCAAAGTGGGACAACGTATGCCATGGTTTATGTACTTAAAATAAGAGTGGAGGAGACCCCCTGGATCATCACATCCCACTCAGTCCCATCACAGTCACCACACAGCGTGTTTATCAAGCCTTATATTTAGTTCCTTTTCTTTCTTTGCTACTGGAAGCCTGTTACAGGTCCTCACCCTGCTGAGAGCTCAAAATCCAAATAAAAAGCTTAGTCTTAGCCAGTTTATACCCACTTGTTTTTGTGTCAGTGCTGCTTGTTGGCTAAAACCCAGCAAGCATTCAGCTGTCAGGAGGGATGCACAGAGAGAAACCTTGGATTAATAGATCCCAGTGCTCCAGGATCCTTCTGGGGTGTGCAGGGATGGCAGGAATTGCAGAGCTCGACGAAATCTGTAATAGTAACTGGTTTTCAGAGAGAGGTCCTAATGCTGCACATTCTTTTGCTCAAAGTTTTGCTGATTTTAGTGGGGATTCTGTTCATAGATGGTCTGCAATAGTTACATTTGTATTTTGTTAATGATTATTTGGTAGGCAAGGAGGGCACTTTGCTTTGGGGGGTGTGTGTGCACAGAATCTATATTGCAAAAGGAAAAAGCAGCTGTAAATTCCTATTTTGATTGCCTAATAGAACGATCTTTAACAGCATGGGCATTGACATTTGGAAGAAAGAAACACTTTCTTTTCTTTTTCCAAATTGCTGCTCTTTATAAAGGCAGCTCGCTTGTTACTTCATTGTCACAAAATATAGAAGTTGGTAGTTATTGACAGGAAATGTTACTTATCTGTCTGCCTTCATTGATGGGTCAATTGCAAATGCTATCTTAGTCCAACTAGAACCAGAGAAGAAAGGGTGGATCATTCTTGTTAAAGGAGCTTCAGTTTTTAAAAGATGCTCAAGCCTTCCAAATGTAACATAGCGAGCTTTTTTTTTTCCAGGCAGATGCAAATATAAAATCAATATCAGCATCCTGGAATTTTATTCCTTGACTCTAAGCTTCAATTGTCAAGACAACTAGGCAGGCCTCATTACTAATTAATAAATCACTAGAACCAAACAGTTTAGCAGGAAAAATAATAGGAAATAAAATAAGTTGACTGTTCAGTGGATTTGTAATACTGGAATGGTTTTTGGTTTTCTCTTACAGTATGAAATTGCTACACCCACAAAAGCACTGTCATTTAGTGTGTTCTTCTATTAGTAATCACATGGTTCCTCATTGAGTGGAGTCCAGAAACCTGTTACTTCAAGAAAACCAACAAAAATTGTCATGTCAGAGTGGATTAATTGTTATTTTTATCACAGTAAAGCTGTACAGCTTTGCTGTGGAGAGTATTACGTATATAACTGTCCAGAAAAGTCACATCCCAAGGAGCCCACACCTGAAAGGCTACCCCTGCTTTCATGGCTGATGACTTGTTGACAATCTTTGGTAACTGGCCTTGTGCTTCAAAAACTACCTGAAAAGAGGGGGTAAAGCCCTAAAACACTTTTAAATTAACACAAGGTCAAACATTATTTATGTAAAAAAATGAAAGGCAGAGTGCTCTCATGCACTTTAAAAGATAAGTAGCATAAGGTAAGAACTTGACAGTTTTATAATATAGATGGAATAACCTTGTCATCTGTTCGTAGTTGTGAGTTGAATTTGCTGGAGACAAAAGGAAAACTTATGTGGATTAATTTGTAGATTTAATAAGGCAGCTGTAGATAATAACCTGTTCAATTCCTGAACTCAGAAGCACCTGAGAAGGGAGCAGTTTTCTTCCTCTGTTGGAGAAGGGAAAAAGGTGTACATGCACTTGTATTTGAGGTTGCAGTGGTTGTGATCTTTTCAGAGAAGTTCTAGAGAAGAAATTACTAATTTTGTCATGATAAGCTTGTTTCTGAACTGCTGTATTTCAGCAGAAGTTCCTTAAATGCTCTTGGGTCTTCTCCAGTAAAAATGTTGCTGCAGGGTGCAGTGTTAACAAAATTCCCCAGTAAGGCCTAAATGGTCTAAAAACTACAAGAACTCATGTAGATGAGCCTGTGAAGACAGAGAAGGCTGAGAATTTGGTGGCAAAAGGGAATGCTATAGCACAGCTGAGTAGAGTTTTGAGAATCCCTGCCTAATTTAGAAAAATGAATCCTTAAACCAAACTACATGGTGGCACCTCCTGGTCACACCAGCAAACAGGTCCTTTGGAAAAAGAGATCAACCCATAGGGAAATATTTGGACTGCCACTTACTAAATCAAACCATTGGACTTGATGAGCTTGGTGATGTAGTCAAGGGGTAAAAGATGGGGGTTATTCTCATTTGCAGCCAGCATGGAAGCTAGTAACACTAAAGCTGCTGAAGGGGAAGTAGTTTGCCATTTCCTTACATGAAAGTTCTGTCACTGTTTTTCCATTTGTGTTCATTTTTTTGTCCTTAATAAACCAGTCTTGCTCTGTGCAGTCCCAGTGTTTGCACATTGAGATGTTCTGCTGAAGGATGGGGATCCAAGCACTTAAAGTAATGTATCAAGGCAACCTCACATACCCGCAGTCAGCTAGCACTGGTGCCGAGTCTCCTGATGAGGGTCTGCTCAGAGCATCACGAGTACTGGCTGCTTCCTAAACTACTTACTGAACTAGCTGTTTGATTCTTTACAAATTAAACAATAGGTTTCCTGCTAGAATTGACTCATAGAAACTATTTCCTGTCTGAATAAAAACAGTGTCCCTGATTACCCCCAATATTGCACCATTTTTCTATTATAAAGCTTTTTCTGAGAATCGGATTCTGAGATTTGCTTTTTTTGTTGTTGAAATATATTAAAAATTGTTAGCTCTGAGTCTCTCATTAAGCATTTTTGTCCAAATAATAAGTCCTCAAAAGCTCCGGTAGTCATAGCCAAATGGGACTCTGAATTGCATTTCCATCTTACAAAAGACAGTTGGAAAGATAAGTGTGTGGGAAGTGATACACTGCAGGGAACAGTCATGCCCTGGCAGTGAGGATGGACCAGATGACCTAATTTCTCTTTTCCATTAGAGCTGTCTCTGATTCCCCAGCTAGTCATGCAAGCACATGACTGACAATAAGGACAAGAAAATATGGAAAACACATCTCCCAGCGTAACAAAGCAAGCCTGCTATTCTAGATTCCATCTCCTTGCAAGCACTGATTAACTGAACGCCGTATAGTCATCTAGCTTTGTGCTGGTCTTTTAGGTGAAACCCTCAGAACTGACTTGCTGTCTGCTTTGCCTGGAATTCATAACTGCTGTCTCAGCTGCATGAGACAGCTGCTTGGGTGAATATAAGGAAGATTTGAGAAGAACAGCTTCAAGAAGTTGCAGGGGTAATACACTCTTTTCCCTATTTTAGTAATATCCCTCACAACTCATCCACAAGATGCTGGAAGTGCATCTACTGACCGCTCCTAAATTATCGTGCCTTCTACACAAATGACATGGGCTCGCTGTGCCAACTCACACCAAGGTGTGAAATCACTGCCTGCTCAGTTGGTTAAACTGGTGTTAAGATGACTTTTTGCTGCTGTTCATAAATTGGCCATGACCTGGCCATTGTGATCCAAAGGATTTTTTTTCAAAATTTGTTGTTGTTGTTGTTGGCAAGTAAAAGCTTCCCTGACCATTTGCCAAATTATCCTTTCCCATCTCTTCTTGCTGACCGACTGCTCTCCCTCAGCCAGGGAGCCTGTGGTCTTGCAGTGTCAGATCTTATCTGGAATATTAAGAATTTTGGAATCAGTATTTTGATATTGCACAACATTATTATTGAACATGTCCTTGAAATACATGTTATTAACATATCCTCATTCTGCAGAGTTTGTACATGACACTATATTCCCACCTCATGTATCCCACCCATATCATTCTCCATTAACATTATTCATGTCATACCTACAAACAAAATCACCTACCAAAGGCCAAAGAAACCTGAATGTAGCATTAAGACAAGAATGGATTACAAGAATGAACTTAGAAAGACTTGCACCTCGATGAAGAGAGGTGAGGCTGGATGAGATAAAGAACTTTGAAAAGCAAAATACGCTGACCAATAAAACACTGGTGGTGTTTTGATGGAAAACTATACAAAACCACCCTATCATCTGGAAGCAGATGTTTACCCTTGAGATTTCTCACTATCTGATTTGCAAATACTAGATGGATACTGGACAGGACAACTGAGACCCAGGAGGAGTTTGCTTCTCAGATCCGTTTTGGAAGAACTGTTCTAAGTTTTATTTCCTTCTCTGTAAGAGATAGTGGAGTAGAGTTCCTGCTGGAGCTTTTTTATTATCTACTTCCTACTACTGCAGAAACTTAGAATCTCTGCAGTGCCCAATCTCTCCTGGCTTCTTCTTGTGCTCGTTTTAAAGAAGTTGTGCCTTTCAGTCTTTTTCTGTAGGTATTTTGTGTTATAGGATGCTGAAACCCTGTTTTGTAGCCCAGATTTATGGACTAAATGCTTTGTGGAGCCTTTTGAAGTAGATGTCTACTACACTCTGACTTGGATGTAAAAGCTTGGACCAGTTCTCTGTTCTTTTGGCACTGGTAACCATCTCTTTTCACCTCATGTAAAAGGAAGAGCTCTCTCTACCCTGCCACCTGTGGAGCCAGAGACAAGGACAAGACATAGGGATGTTGACTGTTTGCATTCCTCTTCCTAATGTACTTTCCTGTGCAGAGCAATCCCAATTTTTAAAAGAGACAAGGAGAAAAAAACCTTCAATATCAATAAATACATGGGGATTATAAAAAAATCTTACTGGCACATAAGAAAACTACTC